TGATGACTGCAGTGAGACGAAAGCAGAAGGTTCTTCTTTAATTTCAAGGATGGTGTCCTTTAAGATGTTTGGTTTGGTTTGGTCAACTGGTAAAGTTAAAGCACCAAGCTTCTCTAATTCATCCAAGAAATTGTCTAGGAAAGGTGGTATTGGGGCCAGAGAACTTGCTGGTGTACACCCAGCTGTCAGTGAGAGCCACTCATGGGTGATTCCCTGGAGAGCTCCTTTACCTGGGTCACGTGAAGTTTTGTACATGGGAGGAAGGCATGGTTCACTTGAAGCCAACTTAGAAATAAGCAGCGATGACGAAATAAGAATAAATAAATAAACCAAGAAAGCAACAGTAATGCATCAAAACACAAATAGAGACAGAGATGCAAGAAAGGAGAGATAGTAAATATGAAACATATTTTATGTTATATTCAAGATTTGAAGATACTTTGCTGCATTCAAATACATTAAATCATTAGCACATTAATGAGAAAAATTATATGTAGTGTGAAACTCTATTAGTTTTGGATGGGGTCTTAAATGTCAAATGACAAGATAAGTGGCATCACAGAGATTATGAGGATAAACAATGAAACACTGAGAGGTCTAATTTAATAGTCATCTTCTTTTAAACTAGTGTTCCCCACACTTATTTAGTATCGTATAAATGACTCTGAGCTCATACTAATGTAGAAAATCAACAGCTAAGCTTTTTATTCCTTAGATTTGGTTAGTATTCTTTCTTGCTGCAGTGGTGCCAATTCTTTTGAACTTTCATAAGTATTAAACTCATGAGGATGGGTGAGATTGCAAGGTGATTACAACATATGGCTTAAAATATTTTTAGACCATTTTACAGTAATACATTTCTAAATGAAGAACTTCTGAAAAATAATTTGTCAGGAACAAAACCTATGATCAGAAGGAAGCTGAACTTACAGAACTACTACTTCAAAGTCGAGAAAAAATCAAAGTAAATGTTTACATAGCAAGGAAGCATATGATGTTAATGGGTATAAACTTCTAAGCCTCCCATTCTCTCCCAAGAGCTTGACATTTGATGTAAACCCATGGAGATGCAATCTACAAAGCATAATCTCCTGACGTAAAAATACACTTCTGTATATTTTAATAATATTGATGTATTTTGCATCTTTTAATCAAAATGGTAAATTTAAATTTTTATGTAAATGCATTAAAAGTGGGTCTAGAAATGCTGTCTTGTAAGGTTCTAATAGGGAGCCCTGGTAGCATAGTGCCTAAAGCACTTGACTGCTAACCAGAAGGCTGGCGGTTCAAGCCCACCAGCCACTCCTCAGAAGGAAGATGGGGCAATCTACTTCTGTAGTGATATTGCCTCGGAAACCCAAGGAGGGGTTGCTATGAGTCTCGCTATGAGTTGGGTCCGACTCAACAGCACATAACCACAACAACAGCAACAAGGTTCTAATAAATCTCTCTCTTGTTGCTGAACTAGAAAGAATGTCATATATTTTACACATAAAAACCTCCAGAGATGTTGGTGAATGACTGTATACTTTAGCTCTTTCCAGCTAAATAACTTTGGTTTGGAAAGAAAGAAATCTTCAAGAATGATTTTGGAGATGCACTTTCTAGTTGATAGTTTGGGATATTTCATACATGCAGTAAACATTCTCAGTCCTTGGGCCTTATGTACTTCACAGCATGGTGCATTAATGCCTTCCTCACTGACTTCTGCTTCCTATAGCAGGAATAAGGCATTTGTTGAGTTTATTTAGCTGTTCTTCTTCTTCTTCTTCTTCTTTTTTTTTTTTTTTTTTTGGTTTGTTTGTTTGTTTTTAAAGGAAATATATCATCATGAAGCTGGATAAAATGGCACAGAGTGTCACAAAACTCATTTGAGCATCTGAACACAAGATTAAGGACTAAAGGCTGCTTAGCACCTGATATAAAGGGAGGGTGTCCATGTGGTTTCTCCTGGGTAGATACCCATCCCTATCAAGTCCTATGGGAACTGAACTTGTAAGAACTTAGAAATTATCTACATCCCATTTGGTAATCTAGATAATATATTTTTTTTAATTGGCTAGAGCCCTATGTTTTACAACAGAAAGGTTTTTTGTTTATTAACTAGATTTTGAAAATCTGTGAAATATGCAGTCATTCAAGCTTACTACTTTTTCACTTTCCATTTCTGTCAAGGATAGGAATATTAATATTATGGGGATGAGGAAGAAAGATCTTTAAATTCCAGTATCTTCATTACTACCACCACCACTACTAATGCAGTGCTGTTACCACTGATGTCACCAATACACACGTTAACAGGTTCGAAGTGCTTAGCTTTGTGATGAACTTGATTTGACTGACAGTAAAATTAAGTGATCTATAATACTTATATCACAAAAATGTATCCATTACACAAAAATCATACAATTACCTTGTCTCCCACAAGCAATAGAATTATATTTTACTGTGCTATAAAAGCAGAGGTCACAGAGATAATATCAATTTATGTCTGAGTTTCTTCTAACGCAGAGTGAATCCATGAAGCAACATGATTTTAGTACTATTATGTCAAAGAGTGATTCATAAATCATTTAATGAGCTCCTTCTTCTGTTAGCAAATAGCAGTTAGAAAATAGAATATAGGATAGAAAACAGCTGGTGTATTTTAGATGTCACCCTTTAGAAGTATATATTGAACTAAAATGATTCAGTTTAATTCTCTATTGGGAAGATTTCTTCATTAAGCCAGTGACATTTTAATATGGATTACTAGTTGGGATAAAACAATCAGTATTTTTTTTCCAATTACAAACGTAAGTTTTTCAACATACTTTTTCCCCAGCAGTGGTAATAAAACTAATTCATTATGTGTCAAATTTATATATTTCTTTATATATAAAATTTAAAATCTGGTATTATAAAAAAATCTAGGAATCTATACATTTAAATCATATTCACAACAAATATTTTAAACATTATGATGTAAAATATTCTATTGTCCTTGTTAACTAGGACACTATAGAAGAATTCCTTAAATGCTAAATGCCCTCTGTAGATACATGCTTATTCTTTCTTATAAAATGCTATTGGATGGCATCAGTGTCTTTGAAATGTATCTGATAGTTCTTTTAAAATAAATGAATGGTAGCTAAGACAAGTATATTTACTACTAGTAGATGAAGATTCTTATCTATTCTCTTTTTCAGAAGAAACTGCTGAAGAAAGGGTGCTGATATCTGTGCTAAGCTTGGGTAGTGAAGTAAATATACTAAAGAAGGTTGTGGAACACTTATAATCAATCAAACAAAATTGGACTGTACCAAACTGTTCCACTAGTCAATGCTGTAGGATTGAAAGCAATTATTCTATAACTGAAACCCAGTTTTCAAAGAGGATGGGAGTAAATAAAATACCTAGCCATGGAGTTGTAACAGGAAAATTATTCTCTTAGGATAGTGGATTCTTAGATCATTTATTTATGTAACAACCTTTACCTGATACTGATTTTCTAAGAGTAGTTTAGGTCTCCTGGGACACTTATTTAGTTAGTTATTCTTTTAAATTGTACTTTGGGTGCAAATTTACTAAGCAAATTTGATTTACATCCAACAGTTCATGCACATTTGATTTCACTGCCCAATTATCATCCTTGGCCATAAAAACTCTCCTCCCCTCTGGTCCCTGTGACTACCCCCTCCCTGTGCCCTTCTTAACTGTCCCTTCTTCTGTCCAGCCTTCCCTCTAGGTGAATGCTGCCCCTTTGGTGTCTCATGGCTGATTGGTTCTAAGGGGTACATCTCCCTATAGTAGATGGGTGTATCGTCCTGAGGTAGGTGTTCTGCATGTAGGTCTTTCTACTGTTGGGCTGAGAGCCAATCCATGGAAGTGAATCCATTTCTAGGCCTGAAGGGTAACCCAGGGCCATAGTCTCAGAGGTTCCACCAGTCTCTATCTGACCAGTAATTCTGGTCATTTTTGTGTTTTTGAATGGGGACACTGTCTTGAGATGATCTTGCACTGGAACATGAATTCATATTTTAATAGTATCTCATATGTTGATTTTATTTTGCTTATTCTAGATGGTTTGTTTTTCCATGTCCCAGCCTTGATCTCAATTGAAATAATAAATTATGAAACTTAATAAATTTTAAAAAATGTTGGGACATACTTACACTATTTTAGAAGCAAATTTTCTGCAATTTAAAGTTTTATACTTTGAAATCAATGAAAAGGAGAATGAAAACCCTAAACAACATGCCTAAAGAGAACAGAATATATTCTAAGTCAACAGAAATTTAAGAAGAGATTTACATTGTGCGAATGAAAGTAGAATGGTCTGTTCTATTTATTGAATTCAAGAAGCAATGTTCTTTTCAAAGTACATATTGAAAAGGATAATTAGCTACTAGCTCAAGTGAGACAGTAGAACTGGCACATAATTGTCCTAAAACTAATAACCTTGAAGACTTCTAGTAACCCAAGACATTTTCATTTAAATTAATAAACAAACTGACTTACAGATCCTAATGAAAGATTTTCGCTCTAACTCTCCATCTTTATAAGGAACAAAAAGACTTTTATAGAATTGTATCAATCTAATACCAGGTGTTCTTGAGATAAACCACTTTGGGAAAAAAAATATATATCTTCAGCAAAAAAATCAAACTTTAGAAAATAAATTTTTAAAAACTTGAATAATAAGTTTGAGAAAACATATATACATAGAGAAGTACAGATATATATCACATAAGTGTTTATGTTACTAATGGTTCATCTTTCTTTTTCAATATTTTATCTTGAAAATGGAATTGTGAAATCAAGCATTAAACCATTAAACTAGTGCCTACTGAAGAAAAATAAAATTGCAATTGTCATGGCACTCACACACTTAGAAACATATACAAATGCTTTTCTTTGCAATAGATATGAAGTTCTAGTCTAATGTCCTAAAATCACCTACTGATTATCTTACTACAAGATCTCAAATGTTTTGCTAATATGTTAGAATATCTTCTTACCTTATTTGAACTTAAGCTGTGAATTCTATCACTAGAATAGCTGTGGGGTATTGGAGGGTCAGGATAGTCATCAGCACCTTTTGTATTCTTCTTGATGACTTCTACATAGGAAACAGGGAAGATGCCTTGTCTGTTGGTTCCTGGAACTTTACCTTCATACCAGTTCTGATCAACTCTTTTAAGAAGAATAACTCTATCTCCCTGTAATGAATATAAGGACATGCATCATAAAAAGAGAAGTGATAACCTGCAAAAAATAATTACTGATGATTTCCAATATATAATGTTTTTTCCAATTGGGAGATGTCTTATAACTCAAGTTTTTATTTAATCAAGGAAATGCAAGTAAGATTTCTGAGCTTATTCTCAAATGACAGCTTGTCTACATATATACAATTTAATCATCCATTCACAAATCAGAAGCTTGCCTAAGGATGTTTGGCTAATTGAAGATGGGCTCATACATATTCATACTGTTAGTGTGTGAATTGACTTGTCTGAGTTATTTAAAATTGGAATAGTTTACCAGGAAATGTCTCAATGACATAATCCTGTCACTAACAGGTTCCAGGAAATGATCTTTTTTTTTGGGGGGGG